TTAGGCATATTAATAATAATATGAATATAAAATAATAAACATAAAAATAATATATAATAAATATAATAGAATAATAATACACAATAATAGAATAATATAAAATAATAGAATAATAATATACAATAATAACAATGATAATAATAATAATATCCCGCTTTCCTCTTAGGCATATTAATAATAAGATAAATATAAAATAATAAACCATAAAATAATATATAATAAATAGAATAATACAAAATAATGGAATAATAGTATAAAAAATAAATAAAATAATATAAAATAATAGAATAATAATATACAATAATAACAGTGATAATAATATCCTGCTTTCTTCTTAGACATATTAATAATAATATGAATATAAAATAATAAAAATAAAATGATATATAATAAATATAATAGAATAATAATACAAAATAATGAATAATAATAATAATAATATACAAAAATAAATAGAATATAAAGTAGTAGAATAATAATATACAATAATAACAGTGATTATAATAATAATATCCTGCTTTCTTCTTAGGCATATATTATTATTCTATTATTTTATATTATTATTATTCTGTTATATTTATTATATATTATTTTTATGTTTATTATTTTATATTCATATTATTATTAAAATAATATATAATAACTATAATAGAATCATAATAATATAAAATAATAATATACAATAATGATTATAATATCTGCTTTCTTCTTAGGCATAATAATATACAATAATAGTGATAATAATAATAATAATATCTGCTTTCCCCTTACGCATATTAATAATAATGCATATAATAATAATATAAGACAAGATAGACTTGTCTTAACTAAGGAGGCAGGCCCTTGGGGAGGATTGTCTCCATGGCTGGCAAACATTGACAGATTTATCTTCTCAGAGTGAGTCATGACCGGATTTAAGAGGAAGGCAACTATTATTGGCTTCTGTGAGTTCAACCCTGACTCTTTGAGTTTCTCTTCCATTCCTTTAGAGAGGTTTTGATTGCTTGGGGCCCCTGAAGGCCATTTAGACAGGCCGCGGAATGATAATTCAACCATTTCACAGAAGGGTGAACAGAGACCGAGAAAATTTATTATTATTATTATTATTATTATTATTATTATTATATTTATGTATACCCCATTTTATCTCAAAACCTAGTGGCATTTTTTGTACCTTGTGTTCCTTTTGCAGCTGAGGATGGAGGAGGAGGAGGAGAGGGAAACCGGGACACATTTAAAAGCCAATGGGAAGGCAGAGGAGGAATTGGGATTTGTAGAAGGTACATTGGAAGGCATGGCATAGAAACCGAACTATAGGTCGCTCAAGCAAGTGAGTCAAGTTGCATATTGGCACAGAAACTGAACTATAGGTCGCTCAAGTATTGGCATAGGAATCGAACTATAGGTCGCTCAAGCAAGTGAGTCAAGTTGCATATTGGCACAGAAACTGAACTATAGGTCGCTCAAGTATTGGCATAGGAATCGAACTATAGGTCGCTCGAGAAAGTGAGTCTAGCTGCATATTGGCACAGAAATTGAACTATAGGCCATTCAATTATTGGCACAGAAACTGAACTATAGGTCCCTTAAGTATTGGCATAGGAATCGAACTATAGGTCGCTTGAGCAAGTGAGTCAAGCTGCATATTGGCACAGAAACTGAACTATAGGTCCCTTAAGTATTGGCATAGGAATCGAACTATAGGTCGCTTGAGCAAGTGAGTCAAGCTGCATATTGGCACAGAAACTGAACTATAGGCCTCTCAATTATTGGCATAGGAATCGAACTATAGGTCATTCGAGAAAGTGAGTCAAGTTGCATATTGGCATAGAAACTGAACTATAGGCTGTTCAAGTATTGGCATAGGAATCGAACTGTAGGTCGCTCAAGCAAGTGAGTCAAGTTGCATATTGGCACAGAAACCGAACTATAGGTCTCTCAAGTATTGGCATAGGAATCGAACTATAGGTCGTTCAAGCATGTGACTCAAGCTGCATATTGGCATAGAAACTGAACTATAGGTTGCTCAAGTATTGGCATAGGAATTGAACTATAGGTCGCTCGAACAAGTGAGTAATTCTGCATATTGGCATAGAAGCTGAACTATAGGTCACTCAAGCATTGGCATAGGAATCGAACTATAGGTCGTTCAAGCATGTGACTCAAGCTGCATATTGGCATAGAAACTGAACTATAGGTTGCTCAAGTATTGGCATAGGAATCAAACTATAGGTCACTTGAGCATGTGACTCAAGCTGCATATTGGCATAGAAACTGAACTATAGGTTGCTCAAGTATTGGCATAGGAATCAAACTATAGGTCACTTGAGCAAGTGAGTCATGCTGCATATTGGCATAGAAGCTGAACTATAGGTCACTCATGCATTGGCATAGGAATCGAACTATAGGTCGCTCGAGCAAGTGAGTCAAGCTGCATATTGGCACAGAAACTGAACTATAGGCCACTCAAGTATTGGTCGCTCAGAGCTTGACTCTCTGTCTTCGGAGGAAAAAAAGAGGAAAAGCAATGCTCGGCTTGAGAAATGCAGGAAATGTCAGATCTCAACATTGCAGCATGAAAAGCATACGTGACCTAACCATAACCATTCAAATTTATGGGCATGGGAACCCATTGTCACACTTGTGGAGCCTCCCCACAATCATCCAGGAAGAAGGTGAGAAAGCTGATTTGCATGCTAACACCTTCAAAAACGCACCGGAAACCAAACTATAGGTCGCTCGAGACAGAGAGCCAAGCCACACGTTTGTCATTTTTTCCTTACCAGGGATTTGCAAGAAGTCCAAAATGACTCAAGAGATTCAGAAAGAAGATAAGAAAGGCGATTTATATCATGGCAACCTCAAGAGGGACTTGGTTGGCATAGAACCCCAACAATAGGTCGCTTAGGCAAGTGAGCCAAGCTACATATTGGCATTAGAATGGAACTATAGGGCACTCAAGAAATGGAACTATAGTTGCTTGAGGCAGCAAGCCAAGCTGCATATTACTATAGAAAATGGACTATAGGTCGCTCAAGTCAGCGAGTCCAGCCACGTATTGGCATACACCTCGAACTATAGGTCACACAAGCAATCAGCCAAGCATAGAAACTATAGGCTGCACACTGGCATAGAACCTGAAGTATAAGCTGCTTGAGAAACTGAACTATAGGTCGCTCAAGCAAGTGAGTCAAGGTGCATATTGACATATTATGGAATCTATAGGTTGCTCAAGCAAGTGAGCCAAGCAACATATTAAATGAACTATAGGTTGCTCATGAAAGTGAGTCAAGGTGCATGTTAAACGAAATATAGGTCGCTCAAGCAAGTGATCCAAGGTGCATATTGACATATTATGGAAACTATAGGTCGCTCAAGCAGGTGAGCCAAGCAGCATATTAAATGAACTATAGATTGCTCAAGGAAGTGAGTCAAGCTACATATTGGCATATTATAGAAACTATAGGTCACTCAAGCAAGTGAGCCAAGCTGCATATTGGCATATTATGGAAACTATAGGTCACTCAAACAAGTGAACCAAGCAGCATATTAAATGAACTACAGGTTTCTCAAGCAAGTGAGTCAAGTTGTGTATTGACATATTATGAAAACTATAGGTCGCTCAAGCAAGTGAGCCAAGCAGAATTTTAAATGAACTATAGGTTTCTCAAGCAAGTGAGTCAAGCTGCATATTGGCATGTTATGGAAACTATAGATCTCTCAAGCAAGTGAGCCAAGCAGCATATTAAATGAACTATAGATCGCTCAAGCAAGTGATCCAAGGTGCATATTGACATATTATGGAAACTATAGGTTTCTCAAGCAAGTGATCCAAGGTGCATACTGACATATTATGGAAACTATAGGTCACTCAAGCAAGTGAGCTAAGCTGCATATTGACATATTATGGAAACTATAGGTCACTCAAGCAAGTGAGCTAAGCTGCATATTGACATATTATGAAAACTATAGGTCACTCAAGCAAGTGAGCTAAGCTGCATATTGACATATTATGAAAACTATAGGTCGCTTAAGCAAGTGAGCTAAGCTGCATATTGACATATTTTGGAAACTATAGGTCACTCAAGCAAGTGAGCTAAGCTGCATATTGACATATTATGAAAACTATAGGTCGCTCAAGCCACGTATTGGCATACACCTTGAACTATAGGTCACTCAAGCAAGTCAGCCAAGCATAGAAACTATAGGCAGCACACTGGCATAGTACCTGAAGTATAAGCTACTTGAGAAACTGAACTATAGGTCTCTCAAGCAAGTGAGCCAAGCGGCATATTGGCATATTATGAAAAACTATAGGTTGCTTTCATAATAAGTAAGCTAAGCTGCATATTGACATATTATGGAAACTATAGGTTGTTTAAGCAAGTGAGCCAAGCAGCATGTTAAATGAACTATAGGCTGCGTAAGCAACTGAGCCAAGCTGCATATTGACATATTAAAGTCAACTATAGATCGCTCAATCAGGTCAAGCTGCATATTAGTATATTAAATAAACTATAGGTTGCTTAAGCAAGGGAGCCCAGCAACATATTGACACAGACCCTGACTTATCAGTCACTCAAGCAAGTGAGCCAAGTTGCATATTGGCAACAGAACTGGACTACAGGCTGCTCAAGTACTGGCATAGAGACCGAACTATAGGTCGCTCGACCAAGTGAGAAAAAGTATATATTAGCATATTAAGTGAACTATAGGCTGCTCAAGCAAGTAAGCCGAGTTGCATATTGCCAACAGAGCTGGACTACAGGCTGCTCAAGTAGTGGCATAGAAAACGAAGTATAGGTCACTCAAAGAAGTGAGCCAAGCCACGTGTCGGCATATGAAGTGAACTATAGATCGCTCGAGCCAGTGAGCCAAGTTGCATATTGGCAACAGAACTGGACTATGGGCTGCTCAAGTACTGGCATAGAAACCGGATTATAACTTGTTCAAGGAAGTAAGATCACCCACCCACCCACACCACATTTGTTGTGCCGTACCTGAGTGGACGCTTGATGGCCACGTAGCGGTCGACGGCCACGGCCAGGAGGCTGAAGATGGATCCCTGGGTGAGGACCAGCACGAAGCAGGCCAGGAAGAGGCAGGCGTGGAAGTCGGTGCGAAGGCCCACGCTGATGACCACGGCGAAGGGGATGGCCAGCAGCCCCACGGCCACATCAGCCACTGCCAGCGAGACCAGGAAGTAGTTGGTGGCCGTCTGGAGGGAGCGATTGAGGCCCACAGCCAGGCAGACCAGCAGGTTGCCCGCGATGGACAACGCCGCGATAGCCAGCTCCACCGCGATGTAAACCTGGTCCACTGTGTTCACGGCCGCCGCCATGGCCGCCCCAGGGGTCAGCCGGGGTCAACCGGGGTCGCCCATCCGTCTAGGGCCAGCTTTGCCTCCCAAACATGGCAGGAAGGCGCAAACCACGATTCAGGTCCCTTTGTGGTCACCTCACCGTACTTCTATCCCAATGCAGGATGGAGCTCCGGAGTGCCGAACACGACCCGCCTCCGGGCCAAAGTTATTGGAAAATGGGAAATAATAAATTCAGATTATTTTGATGCCATGGGATGACGGAGCTCCGGAACGCCAATCATGACCCGCCTCCGGGACAAAGTTATTGGAAAACGGGAAATAATAAATTCGGATTATTTCAAAGCCATGAGTTTCCTTTATGTTTGCCTTGTGTTGTATCTCACCCAAAGGATGACGGAGCTCTGGAACGCCAACCACGACCCACCTCCGAGCCAAAGTTTCTGGAAAATGGGAAATAATAAATTCAGATTATTTTGAAGCCATGAGTTTCCTTCCTATTTGCCTTGTGTTGTATCTCAGCCAGAGGATGATGGAATTCCGGAACACCGGACAAAACCTGCCTCTAGGTCAAAGTTATTGGAAAACGGGAAGCAATTCAAATCACCAAAGTAACTGAAAATAATTCATATTATTATTCCAAAGGCATGGGTTGGCTTTAGTTTGCCTTGTGTTGTATCACCCAAAGGATGACGGAGCTCCGGAACGCCAACCATGACCCACCTCCGAGCCAAAGTTACTGGAAAACGGGAAATAATGAATTCAGATTATTTCGAAGCCATGAGTTTACTTCACATTTGCCTTGTGTTGCATCTCAACCAGAGAATGATGGTGTTCCGGAACGCCGGACACGACCCACCTCTGGGTCAAAGTTATTGGAAAATGGGAAGCAATTCAAATCACCAAAGTGATTGGAAATAATTCGGATTATTATTTCAAACTCATGGGTTTCCTTTAGTTTGCCTTGTGTCGTATCTCACCCAGACGGTGTGGAAGCTCCAGAACGCTGATCACGACCCGTATTGGAAAACCAAAGTACCAAAGTTAATTAGAAATAATTTAGAGTATTATTTCAAAGTCATGGCTTTCCTTTACGTTTGCCTTGTCTTATATCTCATCTGGAGGGTGATGGAGCTCCGGAACATCAACCACGACGTGCCTCTGGGTCAAAATTATTGGAAAACGGGAAACAATTCAAATCACCAAAGTGACTGGAAATAATAAATTTGGATTATTTCAAAGCCATGGGTTTCCTTTGCATTTGTGTCGTATCTCACACGGAGGATGGTGGAGCTCCGGAACGCCGACCACGACCTGCCTCTGGGTCAAAGTTATTGGAAAATGGTAAATAATTCAAATCACCAAAGTGACTGGAAATAATAAATTCGGATTATTTCAAAGCAATGGGTTTCCTTTGCATTTGTGTCGTATCTCACTCCGAGGATGATGGAGCTCCGGAACGCTGACCACGACCCACCTCTTTGCTGGAGTTATTGGAAAACGGGAAACAATTCAAATCACCAAAGTGACTGGAAATAATAAATTCGGATTATTTCAAAGCAATGGGTTTCCTTTGCATTTGTGTCGTATCTCACTCGGAGCTCCGGAACGCCAACCACGACCCTCCTCGGCACCGAAGTTATTGGAAAGCGGGAAACGATTCAAATCACTAAAGTTAATTGGAAATAATTTTCAATTATAATTTCAAAGTCTTTACGTTTGACTTGTGTTGTCTCTCACCCAAAGGATGATGGAGTTCCGGAACACCAACCACGACCCAAAGTTATCGCAAAACAGGAAACAATCCAAATCACCAAACTTTTTGGAAATCACTCAAAAGTATTATAGTTTCTTTCCATGCTGCCTTGTCTTATGATGATGAGGTTTGTAAACACTGGATCCGTTCCCGGTCCGATTTCAACGCCGATCTTGGATTCATAAACTTAGGACTCATTCCACATCCATCGCAACCCAGGAAAAGTCCGAAAACTGGGAAATAATTCCAAATTAAGGCTCAGAAAGGTGGAGAAATGGCATCCCACCTTCTCAGTGTGGCTTCTCCAGAAGCTCCAAAGCAAGACCTAGGATTTCAGCAGCTTCCATTGGGATGCATTGAAAGGCTTGCTCCCACTCCACGAGTTCGAGGCTGGCTCTCCCCAGAAAAAATAATAATAATCCCAAAATAAAATAAATTACTTTTCAAAATGAGTCTTCTCTGGGAATGTTGCCACAGCTTGGCTCTGAAGCAAAAAAGCAAGAGACAAGAGAGTGAATCCAAGCTGAGCCTTCTGCTGCATTCTCTGCTCCAAACTCCCTCCTGCGCCTCTATATCAACACACATGGGGCGGGAGGGGAGGGGCTTCCAGGGAGAGCGGCCTCCCATTGGCTAAGGCGCGCCAGGCGGCCCCGCCCCTCCAGCGCTCTTTACCGTAAGGCTTGGAGATCAGGCGCATTAGGATTGCCTGGCAAAGCTTTTGCCATTCCTGGTTGCAGGGCTGGCTTGGTTTCTTTAAATGCAAGATACTGATTGCCTTATATTATATATATATATACATACACACTATCTATCTATCTATCTATCTATCTATCTATCTATCTATAATAATATATAATATTTAAATATACAGTAAAATAAATTAATATAATATAAAATCACATACACAATAATATATATATATATGCAGTAAAATAATATAAAATCACATACACAATATTATATATATATACACACACAATAAAATAAATTAATATGACAATATAAAAATCACACACAATATAATGTAAATATATATTAATATATAATAAATATACAATAAAATATATTAATATAACATAATATAAAATCACACACAATATAATATAAATATTATATATATAATAAAATATGTTATATAAAATAACACAATATAATGTAAATATATAATAATATATACGATCTGAAGAGAAACCAGAGTATATAATAATATATAGAATATAAATATGCAATAAAATAAATTAATGTAACATAATATAAAAATCATACACACAATATAATGTAAATATGTATTAATATATATAATATAAATATACAATAAAATATATTAATAAAAAATGACACACACACTATATATATATATATATCTTAATATGTATAATAGAAATGTACAATAAAATGTATTGATATAAAATTACACACACACAATATAATGTGTTGTTGTTGTTCATTCGTTCAGTCGTCTCCGACTCTTCGTGACCTCATGGACCAGCCCACGCCAGAGCTCCCTGTCGGCCGTTACCACCCCCAGCTCCCTCAAGGTCAGTCCAGTCACTTCAAGGATGCCATTCATCCATCTTGCCCTTGGTCGGCCCCTCTTCCTTTTGCCTTCCACTTTCCCCAGCATCATTGTCTTCTCTAGGCTTTCCTGTCTCCTCATGATGTGGCCAAAGTACTTCAACTTTGTCTCTAATCTTCCCTCCAGTGAGCAGTCGGGCTTTATTTCCTGGAGGATGGACTGGTTGGATCTTCTCGCAGTCCAAGGCACTCTCAGAACTTTCCTCCAACACCACAGCTCAAAAGCATCGATCTTCCTTCGCTCAGCCTTCCCAAGGTCCAGCTCTCACATCCGTAGGTTACTACAGGGAATACCATGGCTTTGACTAGGCGGATCTTTGTTGCCAGTCTGATGTCTCTACTCTTTACTATTTTATCGAGACTGGACATTGCTCTCCTCCCAAGAAGGAAGCGTCTTCTGATTTCCTGGCTACAGTCTGCATCTGCAGTAATCTTTGCACCTAGAAATACAAAGTCTGTCACGGCCTCCACGGTTTCTCCCTCTATTTTCCAGTTGTCAATCATTCTTGTTGCCATAATCTTGGTTTTTATGTTTAGCTGCAACCCGGCTTTTGCGCTTTCTTCTTTCACCTTGATTAGAAGGCTCCTCAGCTCCTCCTCGCTTTCGGCCATCAGAGTGGTGTCATCTGCATATCTGAGGTTGTTAATGTTTCTTCCAGCAATTTCCACCCCAGCCTTGCATTCATCCAGCCCCGCACATCCTCGCATGATGTGTTCTGCATACAAGTTAAAAAGGTTGAGTGAGAGGATGCAGCCTACAATATAATGTATATATATCTTAATATGTATAATATAAATATACAATAAATATATTAATATAATATAAAAATCACACATATAATATATATATTAAAATATATAAGTATACAATAAAATATATTAATATAATGTAAAAATATAAATGTATCTTAATATATATAATATAAAAATACAATAAAATATGTTAATATATAAAACACATACAATATAATATTAATATAATATATATATATAATATAAATATAGATATATAATAAAATATATTAATATAAAATCACACGCACACAATATAATGTAAATATATATTTCTGTATATTATATTATATATAGATATAATATAAATATACAATAAAATGTATTACTATAAAATCACACGCAATATAACATAAATACATATCTTAATATAATATATATAATATAAATATACAATAAAATATATTAATATACAAATATAGAATCACACCCACTATATATATATATATATATATATATATACACACACACACACACACACACACACACACACACACACATACATAGGTAGGTTGTCCCCTGACATTAAGTCCAGTCATGTCTGACTCTGGGGTGTGGTGCTCATCTCCATTTCTAAGCCGAAGAGCCAGCGTTGTCCGTAGACACCTCCAAGGTCATGTGGCCGGCATGACTGCATGGAGCGCCGTTATATACATACATACATACAATAAAATATGTTAATAAAATAATATAAAATTACACACAATATAATATAAATATAAACTAATAGAATATAAATATACAATAATAGAAAATATATTAATAGAAAATAATAGAAAATTACATACATATATATATGCACTTTTATAGGGATAGTTTGTTTAGAATTGTGCAGTGTGATCTTGTATTGTTCCTCCCTTTCCTCCATAAACATACACATTGAGTCTTCCTTCTCTGAAATGTTTTGTATTCATATACACATAGTAGCTTGGGTACAAAATGCATAAGGTTCTGGGTGAATTACAACTCCCATCATGCCAGGTTAATCTCTTGAAACTCCATCAGTGCTGGAAGTTTGTCATGTTGGGCAAGTTTGCTCTCTAGATGCATCATGGTTGTGGTTCAATATATACTAGCATGGGATTTTGTTATCCAGGATGTATTTTAATTCAAAATTGAATTCTGTTGGGGGGGGGGGGGGGGGGGTGTGATTTTGTCATTTGGGAGTTGTTGCTGGGATGTATAGTTCATGTACAATCAAAGAGCATTCCGAACTCCACCAAAGATGGAATTGAACCAGACTTGGCACACAGAACTCCCATGACTAACAGAAAATGCTAGAAGGGTTTGGTGGGCATTGACATTGAGTTTTGGAGTTGTAGTTCAACTACCTCCAGAGAGGGCTGGACTCAAGCAATTATAGATCTGGACCAAACTTAGCATGAATATTCAATATGCCCAGATGGGAACACTGGTGGAGTTTCGGGAAAATAGACCTTCATATTTTGGGATTGTAGTTTCTGGGATGTATAGTTCACCTACA